TGCAAAATTTTGCACTTTTTAAGTTAAATGGATACCACCCCCAAAATCCCCCCCGCCGGAAGGGCGGGCGGGGAAATTCTGGGAGTTGAAGTCCACTCATCTTAAAGTGGCCAAGTTTGGACAACACTGGGTTAAGGTGTAGAGTTGATTCCAGGAAGACCAGATTCAACTCCACCCTCACCCAGGAACACTTGCTGGGTGACTTCAGGTCACTCACTCTTAGGCCAACTTGCCTCCCAGGGTGGTGGTTATGGAGAAAAATGAGGCTACTGTGTACATAACCTTGAATTCCTGAAGGAAAAGCAAGATATAAATCTAACATACATTTATTTATTTATTTATTTATGTGTTTATTTATTTATTTATTTATTTATGAAATGTATATGGATGTCCAGATGTGACTCTGGATGGCATATGTCAACAAGGAAAAAAAATTGTTTAAAGAAAAAATAAAAAATGATAACAGCTACAATGTATAGATGATTGGGAGCCTTCCATATGCACTATATCTCACCAAGCAGGATCTCTTATCATCCTTGCCCCAACGCCCAGGGAAGAACCAAGTTTTTAATGCCTTTCTAAAAGCCAACAGGATCAGGGTCAACTGAATGCCCTGCAATAGAAGAGGAATGTCTCCTAGGTCCCATCAGATGACATTACTTCAAGGAAAGGATTCGAAGCATGTCTCTATCATTAGAGCATGTGGGATGGGCAGAAAGAATGGGAGAAAGCCAGTCCCATAGATAACCCAGTCCTGTACTATGTAGGGCTTTATAAGTGATAATCAGCAGATTGTCCCTGCAAACTTATCAGGAGCCAGCGCAACTCACCATGTAGTGGTGTTACATATTTGCACCACTGCATTCTGGACCAATTGCAGCTTCCAGGTGGTCCTCAAGGGCTGTCAGTATGAAGACTGGCTAACAGTTGTCTCTGGATGTTGGCTGCTGAAGTTGGACCAGAAGGAAGTGATTTTGAGGAGACTGTGTGGATTAGAGAAGGTAGTGGCTTCCTGCAATTTTGATACAAGTTTTAGAAATGTCTACCTAATTCCTAAAGAAGAAAGGGGGAAAAAAGCAACAAAGAAAACATTACTTGCAAAAATATTTTTGGAAAGTGTCTTTCAACTGAAAGGATTATCAGTGTATTATTCTTAATGCACAAAAATCCTTTGTATGTGCTTTGGGGAATTCATAAAAGTGTATAGTATCATTCCATGGGAGCCAAGCAATTCACTATCCAATTGCCAAGTGTATAATTTGAGATTTACAAGTGAAGGACAATGAAAGCTATCATGTGACAATACTGTTAAAACAGCTGCAATACAATTTAATGTGCAGCCCTTCCTCCAATATTAAAGGTTTTAATAAGGATTCTTGTGATGATGTATATTCAATGTAATTAAATCAAAAAAGTTTGTGGTACAGTTTACATAGGAGTATAAGGAGGTTTGCAGCAGCAATGCTTGAATGAGCAGATGGTGAAGCAAGCAATCAACACTTCCTGTAACAGTTTCAGAAGTTGGCTCCAGGCTCCAGGCCTCCACCAAGACTTCATAGTAGCATCTGTAACTGGAAGAGTAACTTGTTGCTAACTCTATAAAAAGGTAAAGATAAATTGGAGACTGCAACACACAATGAGATTGTGATATCCTAATTTTAGCGGAGGGACCAGGATACTGTATATGCCCAAAAGGAAGATCACTGTGAATTTAAGACAACTCCCCCTCCTCACGGAGGAAGAGTAGATAGGAAAAAATATCAACAAAGATAAAATCTATGCCATCCATCCAGATTTGCCAGCTTGTCAAACTTAGTTTGCTAACTTAAGCTGAAATGAATCCTGGAAATTGCTACCCACTCAAAAAAGGTGTGAATGTGATACATTTGAATATGCGTATATGTCATATTCCTGCTAACAACAAACGAAAAATGGCAAGGCCAGCATACACACAAAATATATTTATTGATTTAATAACTACTCATTAAATTAGTTTTGTAAATTGGGTACTTTATTTTATGGGCAAATAGTTTTAATTCTAAATCTCTATCTGTGAATCTCAACCATTCTCTCTCTTGACAGACCATACTTTCATACCAAGAAATACTAGTACACAACCACAGAATCATGGCAATACAGAGCAAGAGTAAAAAGTTAGACTCGGGAGAGTTTAATCCAACCCCCCTGCCCAATCCAAGAATCCACATCCAGCTTCTTTTTAAGTACCTCCAGTGAAGAAATACCACTTCCTAAGGCAGTCTGTTCCATTGCTAAACAGCTTTTGCCGTAAGAAAATCCTTCCTATGTCCAATGCCAATCTGCTTCCTTGACATTTTAGCCCATTGTCTCTTGTCCTATCTTGTTCTGAAACAATACTGAACAAGTCTGCAAGCCTTCAGATTCCTAAAGATAACCACCCACTACCTTGCCTTCTCTTAGCTCAAGATACCCAATGCCTCCAACCATTCCTCATGCGTTTTGTTTTCCAAGCTCTTTATCGTTTTAATTGCCATCCTCTGGGATATGCTCCAGTTTATCTATATCCTTCCTAAGATGAGGTGTCCAGAATTGGACAAAACATTGTAAGAATGGCTGGACCAACACAGAATAGAGAGGAATGACATCTCTTCTGATCCTATACCATGCTTTGGTTGATGAGGCTTAGGACTGCATGTGTTTTTATTGTAGCTGCATCAGCGTTGGCTCAAGTTCAGCATGTGATCCACCAAGACACCGAGAGCTTTTCTTATGAGCTGCTGCCCCATATGGCCTCCCTCATTCTAGATTCATTCCTTTGGTTTTTCTTGCCCAAAACAATTACTGTGCTGCTGTTCCTTTGGAAATTCATCTAGTCTAAGAGCTGTTTCTCGGATTGATAAGACATTAGTACAGTAGTTATTTCTAAAATAATCAACAAGTGCAATTTGGCCCTCCTTCACAAAAGAGACAAGCCTTCTTCCATTTACATAGAACATGAGAAAAAAACCCAAATCCTTCCCACCCTAATTAGTTTACATATAGGTTTCTCATTTGAAAGAAGGATACTTGTCATAATTCTCGTGTTATTATTTTAACCTTAATAATAATTCTCACTGATCAGAACTCTGAGACACTTGTTCTTGGGGTTAACCACTTTCAGCCTAGGCTGCAACCATAAGCCTAAGATCTTGTTAGTTTCTGTCCATAGTTCCAACTTCTAAAGATCTTCCTAAATCCTGATGCTATTCTCTAAAGGGTTTGCTATCCTTCCCTATCTTTGTGTCATCTGCAAATTTGATAGTCATATTTTCTAAGTCTTCAAGTTATTTATAAATACTTTGAATAGCACAAGGCCTAGAACAGAACCCTACAGTACTCCACTTGGTAACTCCTTTCAGTTTGATGTGGAAAGATTGATACACAGTACATTAATTGAGTATAATTGTTCAGCTAGTTTTGCAATCAAGCAGCAGGCCCATCCTTCCCTTTTCTTTCCTCTTACCAATGACATAGCTTAAAAAACTCTTACTTTCCCTTGCAAGCCTAAGTTTCTTTTAGGATGGGCCTAAAAAAAGTTTTTAAGAAAAACGTAAAAACTTTAGTTTTTCTGACTTCCATTCTGCAGATATTGGCTATTTTCTGGGCTATATCCTTGATCATTACACCCATCTTCTGTTTCTTATATATACTTAGTTACTTAATTTCCTATGAATGCTTAGTTCAATCAAAAGTTTGTTATATGTCCACAATGGTTTTCTAAGCTGCTCTGTATTTTTTTTTCCCCCCTCATTGGGATGTGGGTGGTTATATTTTCAGTATCTTGTTTTAGACATTCCTAAAAACTTGTCTTCTTCTTAGTAAATATGATGGATCAAGAATGTTGGAATTCAGGTAGATTCTCATTTGATATTTTGT